TCACATATGAACATTTATGATGTGAAAATGAAAATTAATTTGTTAGTTTGATTAGAACATTTCAATATTCAAATTGGACCTTTGGGCTAAAATAAAGAAAATTTAATTTCAATATAATTGTTGAAAGAAATGAAACTTTTTACTATTATGCCAAAATGTTTTCATAAAAATAATTTAACTTCAATTTTAAATAATCTTTATTTTATTTGATTGGTCTAGAAAATACACATGATTTATACCAATCATATGTTTTTAAAAAGGTAGAATTAATGTATAACCCTTGGTAGTCAGTCATACCTTCAAGTTCAAGCATAATAAAAATTAATCAAATTTCCAATTATGCCCACTTTTTCATTATTTGGAGAAATATGTCCACAATTTAAGTTTAATCAAATGTATCCATGTTATAAAGAATAGAATCAAAACCCTCATCAAACTTATTCAATTATGTGAAAGCTATTGAATGATATTTGAACATGGTTTGGAAAAGATTAGAGCATTAGTTTAACTTATTTTTAATAGAGCTTGAAGATTGTTTGAATAATGTCCAAAGAAGATCTTAATAAGGTTAAAATAATGCTTAGACATAATTGGAGTACAAGTTGAACATAATTTGAGTAAGGTTTGAATAATGTTTAAGCAAGAATGGATAAGGTTCAAAAGATATATGAGTGATGTTAAAAAATGGGTAATTATTATTCAAATATGGTTTGAACAATATTTATGAAAATTTTGAACAAGGTTTAAACTTGATTTGATAACTATTTGAGTAATACTAAAATAAGTCTTAATTATACTATGAATATTATTTGAGTATTGTTCAAACATAGTCCAATCAAGATTTAATGATAGTTCAACAATAGTTTGAATATGGTTTGAATGTGATTCAACAATGTTTCAAACCTTTTTATTCATTGATTAATAATATTTTTATTTTATCTTATTATGTTTTATTTATTTATTTCAATCCATTTTTTTATCCTTGTTATACTTTATTGAGTTAAATTGTGAGCTATCTTTATTATAGATGCATATCTTAACTCTAATTGAACCTATGAAGATGCATTTTATTGCTTAAGTCACATATAAATTTATGTGTTTGATGGATGAAATAATTTGATAGTTTAGGCTACATCTCATTATCAAAGTTGAAATATCTTATATTAGTTATATCCTTACATCCCATAAGCTACATTTCTTTAGTGTTTTGATTCATATGCTACATCAAGTATAATTGATAATGATAATATGTGGTACTCCATTATAATCAATAAGAGATATAAGAACACAATATATAGAGTTTTAGAATTTATTTTACATAATTGAAAAAAGTTTGGAGAATTTTTATTTGAGGAGAAATTTTAAAAGATGATCACAAGCAGTAGGATAATGTATGAATACTAAAATGGAGATGACAAGTTAAAGCATGCAAACATACAAAAAGCATTGATATTGTGTATTAAGATGGATAAGTTGAAAAACTTAGGTTTACACTACCTTACAAATAATGTTATTCTCAACCACGACAAACCTAATGCAATTTTGCTAAATATTTTGGATTAGTTAAAGATGTAAAAATGATCATTAGATGTCAATGGGAAGAATATCAACGGAGAAGTCATATAGTGGGATAAAAAATATGATGCCCTATAAAGCTACTTCCTAATGAATAATGCCCCAACTCAGTGTAATATAATTGAATAGGCGATATCATTATAGTTCTAAGCTTATGAAGCCATTTCTATGTTGGTAATAAAATGTGTGGAGCTTCTTAAAGAAAGTGTCAAGGTTGTTGAGTTCAAATGGCAAGATGGTACTCAAATTTTTTACCATTATTGCTAGTTGAAGATGTAATTGTTATATAAAGCAATATATTGTAAATAGTAGTTTGTATGATCGATATTATTATAGATTAACTCATGATAATTTCTTAATTTTTTTCTTTTTTGGTGATTATTAACTCAATATTGATGCATAGAGTAAATAAGGAGAATTTTATGATTTTATTGTACATACTTATTCTAGTATTTTTTAATTAGTATATTAAAGAAGAAGGTGTCAACTTTACATTCTTAGGAATAAATAATTGAGAAATAGAAGCAAAAATAATTAAAATTTAGTCCATGACATCCCTAAAGTATTGGAATTCTTTTTTTTATTATTGTGTACGAGCTAAAGACCAAACAATTTAGCTTAAAGACTAATTAATTATGGTTGGAATTTATACTAAATACTCTTACTCTTTTTAATACTTATGCACATGAGGAAAATAAATAGAACAAAGATTATAACAAGGATATGTATGTTATTGATTTAATTAATTATTATATTGAAGATGGATTTGAAGTAAATACCAATAAAAAATATAAATGAGGTAGAAGCTGTGGTGGAGCAGATAATGAATGTTTAGAAATTTTATGATATTGAGTTGTTGGGTTGCCTTGCTAACTTATCGGGTTGCCAAACTAGGTTGCCCTTGCCATGCTGTTAGTTTGCCCTGTTGGGTTATTATGTCAAGTTGCCATGTTGAGTTTCTTTGATAAATTATCTTGTTGAATAATCAAGTTCTCTATTTAGTTGCCAAGCTACTTGTTTGATCTATCAAGCCCCCTACTATCGAGTTGGCAAGCTAGTGTGTTGACCAGGAGCTGAGCTGACAAAGTGAAAATTAATACAAAGATAGAGTATCGAGGGCCAAATTTTAAGTGATGACTTATAAGGACCGAGTACCAGGGGTTGAGTTCTAAGTGTATAATGTCAATGCTAGAATCCATGTTACGTACAAAGTTATATGAAACAAAATCATAAGGGTTGTACAACCTTTTGTGATTAAGGAAAGTGGGCATTAATGCCCCGTAACATTATGCACTTTTCAATTAATTCTTGTTAAATCTTATACCAAAGTAAATGACACATCAAGATCTATAGATAGAAGAAAACATTTTTGTAAGATGAACTCTTTCTTTTTTGAGGGCTTTGGGACCTCACACGAGAAGCCATATTCTTTCTTAATGGGCCTCTTGCTTCTTCCTCCTCTCTCTATATCTCTCTCTTTGTTCCCCTCTTTCCCAGATTTGTATATAACCTACTAACACATTAGGATTCAACATGGGTTGAATTCTTTGCTGAGAATCAACACTGAAGATGCGCATTCCTTACAAAGCTATAAGAATTGAATCAATTTAACTTCAAAAGAGTCACAAAATCTTTTGTACTTGAGTTGACTGGGCATTAATTCATCATACCCTTATATAAATTTTCATCAAGTTGTATCAAATTTTGTTCCAAAGTAAATAATGCCCTAATATCTATAAATATGAGTCAATAGTTTGAAAGGGTGACTCTCTTTCTTGGGGTTTTAGGACCCCCACTTGGGGAAACTCTCTCATTCCCTGAAGGGCTCCTCACCTCTCATCTCTCTCTCTCTCTCTCTCTCTCTCTCTCTCTCTCTCTCTCTCTCTCTCTCTCTCTCTCTCTCTCTCTCTCTCTCTCTCTCTCTCTCTCTCTCTCTCTCTCTCTCTCTCTCTCTCTCTCTCTCTCTCTCTCTCTCTCTCTCTCTCTCTCTCTCTCTCTCTCTCTCTCTCTCTCTCTCTCTCTTCCTTAATGCTAGTAAGATTTGGACATAACCCATGGAGAAATCATGATTTAACATTGGTTGAGAGTTATGAGTGTTGGGTATCAATGCTTAGGACACACATTCCATATAAAGTTAAAAAAATGGAATGGTTATACCTCTGAAGTGCCATAAAACCTTCCAAACTTAAGTCAATTGATAATGCCTCATAAATTTATTTAATTTTTAATTAATTCTTTTCAAATTCTATATCAACATAAAAGACTCCCCAATATCTATAAATAAGGGGTTAATAGTTTATAAGGTGTATTTTCTCTTTCAATGGGCTCCAAAACTTCACTTGGGGAACCTCTCCCTTTCTTGAATCTCTCTCTCTCTCTCTAGTTATATATATATATATATATATTATATATCAAACTTTTGTTTCTCAATACTGAGAATTCGGGCAAAATCATCGAACAAATCAAAATTCAACATTAGATTCTTTTGTATTTTAGTTGTTTGATTGTTCTTTATTGTGCTATAATAATTGTATGACATTTTGTTGTATTATAGCTATTAGATTATACATTGTTATATATACTATATAGTACGATATATTATAAAGATTGAAGTATATTGTATGAATTTTATAGTTTATGATGTCTAAATATTGCTCAAACTCTATTTAAATAATATTCTTATTCAACTATTGTTTGAAGTATATTGGAATCATATTAGAACCAATTTTATGAACTTTGAACTTTCAATAGATAGTGCACATAGAGAGCAGTCTATTTTGATATGAATGAACTTTCATATATATATTTATCTAAAAAATAAATAGGGGTTGTATTTGCCACTATTGTAATGATTGTATAGTCAATTTAATTTAATACCATTCCTTTATTTTATAATGAAATTGATATATTTAGAAAATAAAAAAATAAAAATATTTTTAGGGTTAAAAAGTAGAAAAAAGAAGAATAAGAGAGAGATTTATGTAAAAACCACAATTCTTATATATATATATATATATATAACATATAAATTTTGATATTTATCTATATAACAAATTTAATTTTTAATATCATATAAATAATAATAATAATATTTTCTTATTAAATACAAAATTAATGTTATATAACTAAATATTAAAATTTAGATATTAATTATAATGATATTTAAGAATTGGGGCACACAATTCTTATCTCACATTTAAACTTTTATATCTAGACACAATATTCAAATCTTTAATATCACATAAAAAATAACACTCTTATCACTTTTTAAAAATAAAATGTAAATTTTCATGTAAAGATTTAAAGACTAAAGACTAAAGTGGTGTTTGTAAATATGAAAATTTTGAGATATGTAAATACAAGAATTGTATGCTACTTCCTTAAAACTTATGCGTGAAAACTTTTAGACCTATTAACATCTGATAACACAGTTGGCCTTCGTAGTTTGGTATCTAGAAATTCTAGAGATAGAGAGCTTTGAGAAAGCGCAATGGCGGACTCATCAAATTCCTTAGGGTTTCTGATGAGGCACTTTGAGGAGCTTAAGGGGCACTGGAAGCAGAACTTTGCGTTCCTTGATTACTACAAGAAAACACTGGGATGGGAGAAGGCTCCGCCTAAATGGACTGACGCAGATGTCGAGGAATTTATCGCCTCAGATCCCGTGTACGGTCCCCAGGTTCCCGTCCAATCCTGAAGGCACATCTTTCCAAATTTTTTCTCATATTTTTTTGTTGATTCCTTAGGGTTAAGATCTGGCATTCAGCGTGCCAATGAGTTATTTTAGATGTTCACTTCTACTCGTGTTTTATGCTGCTCAATGCTATCGATCAGTATTTGTGTAACTATCCCTTTTTAGGGAAGGGATCCATATGATCATTGAATTTTTGTTGGCACTGATCATCATTTACGAAAGGCCTGGTGGGTGGTTCCGTCATGAGGGTGCGTTTCTGGTCGGTTTCTATTGTGAATCTAATTGTAATACCAAGGAGGATATTTGATGGTTTAAAGTTTTTCTTAGTTTGTTGGGTTTAATGAGCTGAGTTAGCCTTGTAATTGATAAATACACATAGTTGGGGAGGATAAGGAGTTAAAATGAATAAATAAGCATGTCCCTTTTTTTGTTTTCTCTGAACTTAAGATTTCTAATATATTTTATTGACTTCTTTTATTAAATAACCTAAATGATTTTTCTATGGTGGAACATCCAAAAGAGTTAACTTCATTAGATTTGACATCAATTTTTTTTATATATTTTTCATTAGTCATGCAAAGCATTTGCACCTGTAAATTTGATAAATTTGATGTTTTGCTTTTAAGTAGTTCATAGTGTTTTTTTAGTTTATGCCTAATGTTTATTCTAATTAATACATAACAGACTATCTTTAGTGTCTTTGCGCAAAACTTTTTAGCTGGTTCATATTATAATTTAGAATTGTTTGGGCAGCCTCAACTAATGTTCTGTTTTTTTTTTTAACTATGCCGTTTTTATTGAGGTGCCTCTTGGCACTGATAAAATATATAGTTATTATTTTTTAGAAAAAGTTAAAAACTTTTCATTTTCGAATTCGTTACTATGATCATTTTTAACTGTTGAAATAATTTTGGCAGTCTCTCGTGCTATATTCAAGATTCATCTAGTCTGTTATTTGGACTTTCAGTTTGAATGTTAAAATTATAAATATTATTGATTTTTTTTTAATGGATAGTATTCTATTTTTATATATTGTATATTAAAAGGGGCACGATGCTCATAACTTTAAGTAAACTAAATAAATAAAAGAATTCTATGTCAAACCTCATATCATAAAGCTTCCTGATGATAAGAATGTGCTTTAAGCTATTCACCAAAAGGACCTTTTTAATAGTAAAAGGTTTATTTTTCCAACATTTCAAATACTTATCACCTTTCTTGTGGCATTATCTCTAGGATTAAAATTTTCACTATCCCAAGGTTTTAGTGTTGTAAATTTATATCCACCAATATTCATATTTTTTTAGCATACATTGTCCAGGCAGCACATGTCTCTGCTTATTCTATTGTGAAGGTTCACCTACACAAATGTAGTGCATTTGATTTTAGAATCAAAATCATATTGGGTTTATGAACATTTGAATTTGTAGTAATACTATGACTTGCAATTTTAAGTTTATGCATCTAAATATATTCGTGTTAGTTGATGTTCTATGTGTGATTTATGAGAAATATGTCCAGGTAATTGACATAAACGATAAGTAATGGTAAGTATTAATTATTTCTCTTTTTGAAAGAAGGTTCCACATGTGTTTGTTTGTTATTTATTGTCTTATTTGCCTTATGCATTGGTTTAGTGATGGATATAGCATGAGAAGCTTCATTAAATTATTTTTGAGACCTATATCGATAACTATCCCAATTTTAGCAATTCATATTTTGTGTGATCAAAAGAAACTAGTTATTAAAATAAAATATTTTCCTTGATTTATACATAAAGAAATTTCTTTTCTAATTTATTTTTAATACGATCTAAATCATGTAATCTTGGCTCTAAATTTTATGCTTAGCTCTTCTAAGAGATTTTATGATTTGGGGTTAAATTTTTAGAAGTCTATTAGATTTTAAATAAGATGCTACCCAAAGGTTTTATTTCTATTTTGTAAAGATTTTATGATTTATTTCAAAAATTTCACAAACACAAGTCCCTATGATTAGGTAACCTTTCGAGTTTAAGAATTTTTTATTAGGGCATTGACATGTGCTAAATAAATTAGCTTGTAGTAGCAACAATTTGGGTTTAGGAAAAGAGATTTTTTTTGCATTTTTCTAAAGGCTATGGTTGGGAAATGGTGACGAACCTAATCAAAATCTCATGTTTTTGTTGTACATGATTGTTATGGATCGTTGTCTACTTACTTAATCAGAGGATATGACCAATCCTAGTTCACCTAAAGAGTTAGTAGTCATGGATTGTGTAGTCCAAATTGAATTTATAGAAATGTGATTGATGCTTATCAAACATGATGTTTTTCAGTTGAATTTAGCTAAGAGGGTTTTATGCCATATCAAGTGCGCTTTATTTATTTTTTTAATTTAGAACAATTGGGCCATTGAGGAACTTACGGATTTTTTTGGTGATCATAATTTATAATATCATTGTGCGACAAACCATATTAATGGGGGGCTCAATCATGATTTTAATTTTTTATGGTGTCATTTGACAACAAGCCACCTGGTCATAGGACATGTGTCGTGTTCTTAGTGGCATGAGGTATTTGAGCATCATCATAGAGATGTGTTTGTTATGATATTAGTCTTTTGTAAACTGAGATTATTTTAACTTTAGTCATCATCATCGAATCGTTGTGAAAGATGAATGGAATATTGCTTTAAGGTTAGGGTGATAAATTTCACTTGAACATTACTGAATTTCATAGGTCTTAGATTTCAATAGTTTATTAGGGTTTAAGGTTCTAAAATAATTTGTGTTAGGATTTGGAAATATTTTTATTATTTGATCTCCTCTTGTTGAGATTTTTTATCAATGCGACCGTTATCACTATATGACCATTTGCATTATTTGTATTTACGATTAGAGATTTTTTTTTTTTTAAATTGAATCCCTCCAGTACGATTATTACGCCCATCATAGGGGTATTTGAATGATTGTACTTGATTGTTTCAAACCTTGTTAATGCTAATTTGCTCGTGTCTGAATGGTGAACCTATGATTTTATCTTGCAAGTATTGCAGTGAGAGTTTGTATTTTAAAAATTAATTTTTTTAAATTAAAAGTTCTTAAGGCTTTATACAAATGCTAAAGACAATTTTTTTTAGGATTTAAGATTAAGCTTCCGTTTTCTAGTATTCAATGATGACAATTTGTTTGATTAGATTAATACCAATAATAAAGATTGTTCTCTAATTGCAAGTTGGTTGGAATTTATTTCTTGAGTATTATCCAACAATAACAGTGTCATTGACTTCAATCTTTATGAGGAAGATCAAATTTTAAAGGGAGACTTATTGTTCTGCTTAATAGGTTGGACGCTTGTTCGAGAATATTATGCAACATGTTGATTTTGAATTTGGAGTTTAAATAAGAGTTTGGGGGTTTTGAAAATGGTATTTCACTTTTCAAAATAGTTGCACAATGCTTGAAGCAGGATAAATTTAAGTTTAGCCTGCTTTCTACCTGCATCAATCATTTAACACAATTATTGGAGCACACACAATTGAATTTAATTGTAAAGACTTCAACATAATAGAGAATATGCACATTTGGAAGCCCTTGTACGAGGTATCATATTTGAGTTAGAAATTTCCTCATGAAGTACGTACAAGACTGTACGCACTTAGGACTTCCCAAGTTTAAATTATTTTTGTGTATATTTTGTCATTAAGACTTGCACAATGTCTCATTTTGAATTTCAAAATATTGCAATATGTTATGCATTGTAGATCCGGATGCAACTGTTACTAGTTATATTCCAGTCCATGTTTCAATGTGTCATAATTTTATTTATATGATTGTAATTTACTGTAGGTTGGTTCCAAGTGGTATCATTTTTTTCTTTGAATAGCAAGGGTGTCTTAATTCATTTTATCATTCAAGTTCTCATTCAATTCATAGAGTTCTTGTAGTGTTAGGAGCAGCATGGATGTTTTGTCTTTGCTTGCAGGAGTGTTTGAAGTACACTGTAAGTTTTTCTTGCATTTAATTTGGTGGTTTTCTATATATAATGTGTTCGAAGTGTCCTTTTCTTCCATTTATCTTTATTTAGTGATTATTTTTATGTTGATTTTGTGTTCAGAGGTATCTGAATTATGTTAATTTTGAGTAAATTCATTTCACATTTTGTTAGCCTCCTAGTGTCTGCCCCACTTGAATCATCTTAGGTGAATATTAGGCTTGCCGATTCTGCAAGAAAAAGACACATTTGTTTGTTGTCCTAATACACCACGGATGTTTTCTTCAGAAACTTGTAAAGCCTAGAAATTTGTGCACGTGCTTGAATAAGAGAATTGGCAATGTTTATTTTCTCCATTGTGGGAAGCAAAAAATGCATAGGGTTTACTTGCTAACTTGCGAGTGTTTCCTATGAGTTTCTCCTTTCATGCTAAGAAAAACCCCCCATGAGTTTCACTCATGTTAAATTCATCATAATCAGAAGTTCCCCCCCATGAGTGGGGTTTCACTCATGTTAAATTCATCATAATCAGAAGTTTGGAATTTTTAATAACATTGCATTTTACACCTTCACGCATTAGGCGGCGGCAATGACGGTGAGGCGATGAATTTGCGAGAGCGGCATGCTATATATTTATTTTCTTTAATTTTTTTTCTATTTTATGTTCCTATTTTAACATATATGTGTATTGAAGAAATAAGAAAAAGAAGTAGAGGGAGAGACAGTGAGAAAGATGGAGAGTAAGAGAAAAACAAATATAGGTTAGAGAGGGAGAGAAATAGAGAGTTGGCTTGGAGTGAGGAAATGTAGAAAGGTAGAGAGTAAAGAAAAGCTAGAGTGAGGTATGTAGAAAGAGAAAAGAAGGATTATAGAAATAGTAAGGAGAGAAGAGAGTATGAGGAAGTGGAGAGTGTCTCGGCTTTGGTCGTGAGAGGTCATCATAGTTGCGAGTTCAATGAGGGCTGATGCTATTAGTGCAGGATTAGAGAAGGCAACGGCTATTTGGAGGTT